TCTCTCTCTCCCAGTTGCTCTCTCACTATCTCTCAACCTCGTTTCTGTCTCACTTTCTACATTCTGTATGTTTTCCTTTTTTTTTCTAATTTGCCACAATTCTTGCTTGATTTAGTTGAATTTCTGCTTTTCTTTTTGGTAAAACCACCTCGACACTCTGCCTCCCTCCCTCTGCCTCCCTCTCCCTCTCTCTCTCTCTCTCTTTCTGTTTTCCTCTCTCGCTCTCCCCGTCCCCAGTTGTATTGGTGAGTGTGATGGTGTGTCATCTCCCAGCGGACAGCTGTGCCTCTTAAATCACAGCACAAACACATTCGCTGACATTCACGTTATCTCCTATATCTCTGGCAAGAAATGAACAAGATCTGTTTTGCGGCGTGTCTGCGCGCGACGCTCAAACACTTGAACGCACGGTGAACATTGTGAGAGGATGTCCGTTGCTCTGGCATGCTCTGATGATATTATGCATGAGCCGTGGGCAGAAGGGCTGGCAGAACACGCCCCCAGCACAGCAACACAGAACGCACGAATGCACACATACGCATGCACACACACACACACACACACAGTAGGATATTAAGCTGTTGCAGTACATTTACATAGCTGCCTTTTTTTTTTTTTTTTGCATGTAAATAGATTGACTGTTAAGCTCATGGGTCACTTCAAGGAGAAGCAAAAAAAAAAAAAGGGAACAAAGGAAAAGACAGGATGAGATTAATGATTGAATCATGTTTAACGATGAATATGATTAAGCCTACACGCTGACCTTGGCGTTCAGCATCCTCTCTGGTATTTGCCCTTCTGTCCATCTATATTTGTATTCTTCTTTTCCTGCTGGGGGGCATCACAATTATTTTCATTTTGTCATGTAAAGTAAAAAAACTGAAGTCAGATCGTGTCAACAGATTATATTTATTGTGCTATGGGAGTGAAGACATCAGATTTGAGCAGTTAATGTATGCGTGACGTTGCTTTGAAAAACATGAATGCACGTGCAGAAGCATGCACATGTGCACACACACATACGTCGGCGCTCACACGCACATTTGAGTAGTACACCTACACAGGCAAGTACATCCTCAGATGTGTGATGACACCTTTGTATTTTCCCATATGGTTCATGTGTCTAGACAGTCTGTTGTGTTTGTGTCTAAAAATGTTAATCAACAACTTGTAAAAAAAAAATTAAATTAAATTAAAAAATGAGAGAAAAAAAAAACATGCCCTACAATTCCTCCTCATGTATTATCACCATGTGACTCACGCATCTCCTGTGATACACTCAATGCATGTGGCATGAAGGCCTTAAGGGCAAACTACAAAGATGGCTCTTCGCATATGATCTCTTCTTTTTAAATCTTATGACTAATTCAGAGAGCTATTTGAGATTTGGCCAAAATGGAAGCTGAAATTTTACGACAATCAGTCAAGTGTCATCCAAACAAGAATAGAGGAAGGAGAGGTCAGATTGGTGGCAGCCTCCTGCTCTGGAAGTTGAAATAAAACCCCCGCCCTGTGCTGTGTTGCTGCTGTAATGCTATGACGGCAAGTCCGCGAATCACCACGACTCTCAGGAAAATCTGTGTGTTGACGTTTGACTGTGTGTGGGCGCGCGCTTGTCTTAGAGGTGTTTTTCGCTGTTGCTGGAATGTGAATTGAAGCAAACAGAGAGCAACAACACGATCGCATGCACAGTTCACACACTTTTAATTGCCTTCACCGCGGCACACGATCAAATACGCATCCACGCTCGGGTGCACTCTCGAGCTGATGGACGTATACATTCATAAAATCCTTATTAGAATCCCAAATATCTGCGGGCTTTAAAGCGGTTGTCATTTGTGTCTGCCTGGGATTGCACTGATAGGAGATTGGTGATGGGGTGGATTTGGAGTGGATTTTATGTCTCTTCATCTTTGGACTCATAAACCCAGCTCAGAGCATAAATACTCCCCAAGTTTTTAAATCATACCTAGGGAAATTAAATGTTGCCCCATAGTAGAGAAAATTCCTGAGCATTAGTGAGACAGTTTTGGGCTTTTGTTTTGATCCAACTTCTAGGTATAGCAGCCAACATCGGTGCACTTTTAACCTCTAATACCATTTCACAGAGCAAACCCAAGCACCATTCATATTGGATTGAAGTTAAACAGATTTGCTGAATAGATATGCTACCTTATATATATGTATTTAAAATATTGTATGATCCATTTTAACATGCTGTATATAAGAAATATTTTGGCGTCTTTAAATTATTTGAAGGTTTTGTCCTTTAGAATTCCCAATAATTGTTTATGTTTTTTCGTCCTTCCTGGTCACAGTTTGTTTTGCTTTTTTTTTAAATGTATTTTTATAGAGTAGATGATCACGTGTCTTTCATTGTCTTAATGATTTAGGTTCTTCCTGGTTTTGCACCATGTGTGTTTCCATTGCTGTTGCCCAGCATCTTAAATTAGCCTCTCCTCCTGGGTTTTCTATGTGGGTGTAGAAATGGTGGGCTGCTGAAAGGATCTGGCAAAGCTTATGACGGGATAATCTGCACCTGTTCCTCTGGGCAAGAGCTAAAACAGGACACAGTAGCACCCCACTGCACTTGAACATTCGCACAAACACGCAATCACGCTCGACGAAATGCAAACCGAAAGAATATTTCCCGCTGATAAAGTGCCGTCACATGTTAGCGTCTGGTGACGTTTTCTGTGTTTTATTTTGTAACCAAAAGCCTGAAAAAAATATCAGTCTACATGTAATGCTTCCACAATTAAGCACTGCCAATGGCCTGTGTTATGAATGATATTAGTGCTTATTCTAAAATAGTATAGCCATATTGTTACGATTAAGCATCCCATATGTGTTTATATAATCCACATTTTGTTATGAAATCAAATCAACAAATGGGGCAAAATGAGAATTAGCCTTTCATCAACTTGATAAAAATACAGCTAATATATTTTTTGGAAATATATCATCATGTATTTTTCAGTCGTATAGATGGTAAAATATCGAGAACAATTCCTTTTTAAGAGCTACACGTCTAAATATGTGATTTTTATAAATGTGTGTAACTTTAAACACCTTCATCGTTCCATAAATAAGTAAATACACATTTTGTAACACGACTGCTTTTTGGAAGAGGAATTCACGAGCATGTCTGTGCAGATGTGGGACAATCAGGTTGGAAATAAAATGTGTATCTGGCAAGCTGTAGCCTTTTTTTTCTTTTTCTTTTTTTTAAACTGAGGTCTGTGGTGACTGAGCTTCCACTGCCCTTTGAAATTAAATGCACTACATACTTTGAATTCATTCCTATGTGTTTTCCCTCATTTTGTGTGAAAAGAGAGTTTACACAGCTGAAATAAAGACGGCAAAATAACAGTTTGTATTGCATATACATATGTGTGTGTGTGTGTGTATATACATACATATATATGAAACAAATATCTTGCCAATCAATATATCTTTCATACTGTAGTTTAATCTCCCAGCTGTTAAATCCATTCAAATGCCTCATTCCCTTCCATTTAGTTTACAACCTGTCTGCTCTCCGTTTGGATGAGGCTTTAGAATTTGCTCCTGGAAAGATTTACAGACCCCCAAAGTATGACAAACCCCCACTGCGCGAAAGCTAGGGTCCTCTGAGTCTTAGTAGCATGGGGTACTGGGAGAGGAGGACAAGGAGGATTGGGGGGGAGTTAAAGCCTGTGGTGAATGTGTCAATCTTTCCGCAGCCAACTCTGAAAAAGCTGACACATTTAATGTCAGAGATTTTTTTATTTATTTATTTTTTTCCCCAGGAAAGGAATTCTGGTCAGATCTGTGCATTTAGGAACCTGCTGAGATGAGGCTTATGGAAGTAAGAGCAGTTCTGTGTACTGACTCTGGAAATCGGGATAACAACAGGGAGGCAGCCTGAGGAAAGGGATGGATTTCATGTGGCCGCAGAGAAAGAGGTCTAGTTCAGAACCCGGAGAAATCCTGAGTGTGGTAGCAGCATCTGCACATACGAGATAGCGCAGTATTATATAGACACACACACATTCAGCCTTCCAGATACATAGGCTGACACATGTATGATGCAGTGTGTACTTGCCCTTTTGGCCCATTTTGTCTCACAGGGATTTGCCCCAGTGGAATAGTTTGTGGCTTTTCCCTCTTCCAGGGTTAATAAATGATACACTTTGACTCTGTGTGTATATGAATACTCCCCTCTTGCCTGTAGGATGACTTCTGCTGTAAGAAAGATGACAGTGCACTTGCACATCAACATGGAGAATTTACATGACCTGTTGCAGCATTTCACTTGGTTGCATTGTGCTTCTTTTCAGCTGTGGGCATCCAGATGAAGCTGGAGTTTTTTCAGAAGAAATTCTGGACCGCCAGCAGACAGGTACACATGTAGAGGAATTATTTAGGAACACAACAACAACAACAACAACAACAAAAAGGACAATTTTGATATAAATAACAGTGCATTTTGATCTTACTGCAAGCTTCTGATTGATTTGCTTATTATAATCAGTATTCAATTACTTAAGGGTTTCCAATTATTATTATTATTATTATTATTATTATTATTATTATTATTATTATTAGTAGTAGTAGTAGTAGTAGTAGTAGTAGTAGTATTGTTATTGTTATATTTATATTATTATATTTATATTATTATCATTATTGTTGTTGTTGTTGTATTATTATATTTATATTATTAGTATTGTTATTATTGTTGTTGTTGTTGTTTTTTATACCTACAAAAAAATCTTTTTTTTTTTGTTTTACCATCTGTTCTGATGATCATCCCATAAATGAACTTGTCAAAATAAATAGATGTACACATGATAAGAAATGTATAATTTACTCTTTAAATCTCACATAAAGCTTCTTGTAACTGCTAAATATGTTCCAGTATTTTCATAATCTGGACGTGTTCAGCTCGTACTGTGCTAGATGAACTCCATCAACACCTTTTCTGGTGGTCTGGACATACACATCTTGTTTTTTTTGTCTTCCAGTGTGCAGCACTCGATGGGAAATGCTCCATAAGCTGTGATGACGAGGTCAGTCAGATTTACTTTTCTTCGTCAACTCTCCACGATTCTGTGACTTTTGCGTCTTGCGATTGCTTTAACACTTTCTATTTTATCAGAATATTAACTGCTACCTCATCGACAACAACGGCTTCGTTCTGGTAGCAGAGGACTACACTCTGGTGAGACATTCTAAGCTACTTAAGAGCTGATTAATGAAAAGGCATGTGTGTGTATTTTGTACAGTAATCACGGTTAGAAACATTTTGTTTTGTTTTGTCTGCAAGTCGAAATTTTAATCGTCATAAATGCTTACCACTCAAGTTTTATTCGCATTTTAAAATCACTTTTAATGCATCTCATCCGTACACATTGTCATTTAGACTGCTCTCAATAAGACATGCCGCTGCCCCAGCATCCACTCACTGCTTATCTGTCACCAGACATGCTGTCACTCTGATTTCTGCTCATCCAGAAGCCAGTCCGTTGGCTGTCACTGCCCTTCCGTTACCCTGCATGTGCTTTTCATGCATCTCTCACTTCGCTGGCTCCGCTGCTTTAGTTTATCTTAATTTAGGCTTTAGCATTTAGCGTTTCACTCGTCGAGCTGTTTCATCACATTGCTGTCGTTTAGTGAAAATGTCATTCAACAACAAGGTAGCACGAGCGCCGTCTATCAAAGTGCTGTTTTTTCAAATGTGTGAGGCGTCATGAGTGGGTCTGACAGGGTGAGCCAGCGCATCCAACAGTCATTTCAGGCCATGCTATATTTAGAAACATTTGAAAACACAAGAAGTCATGACAGTGACATTCAGACGACACTGGATTTGATCATCAGTGGCTAATTCAAGCAAATCAACTGGCAGCCATTGTCCGTGCTATAAATACAGCCAACCGCACCGCGAGGAGATCGATGCTTAAAGTTTTGTTCACATTCTTTAACCCACTTCACAGACGGGGGAATCAAGGCCAAACACTCAACTACAGTCGTCCAAACCCCCTTTTGGATGCTGACACAGTTTTAGATTATTCAATAATGAAAATGATTGTTAGTTGCAGCGCTGCTTGTTGTTCAAGTACAAGTAGGTTTTGCTGAATTTTGCTTCTGAACCTTAAGTGTAGCACAGAGTTCCAGCTCAACTAAACCTTCAGATGCCTTTTAACCTTTGTTTTTTTGTGTGTATGTGTGTGTTTATGTAATGTAACAAGGTTGTATGGCTTAATTTGAAGTTTCAGGGTCTTGAATAATAGGCAAGATTGTTTTACCAAGATTCCTGCCTAAAACTAATATCACCAGTGTCTCTAGACTTTCTCTACTGCCACAGCTTTTTGAGTGCTGTAGGGTTGGGTAATTAAAGACTTGTTTTATAATTGGTCCCAAATTTGTCAAATTTTGAAGCTGCAAAGGTTTCTAACTACCGGAAGAGGATTAGGGCCACTGAAGAAAAAAATTCTGGGAGATTTTTTTTTTGTGTGTTCTGGAAAGTTGTCAAAATTCTGACTTTAATCTCAGAATTCTGACTTTTTTCTCAGAATTCTGACTTTAATCTCAGAATTCTGACTTTTTTCAGAGATTGAAAAAAAAAAATCTCCCAGAATTTTTTTCTTTTAATGTCCTGGAAAAAAGTCAGAATTCTGACTTTAATCTCAAAATTCTGACTTTAATCTCAGAATTCTGACTTTTTTCTCAGAATTTTATTTATTTATTCTTCAGTGGCCCTAATCCTCTTTCGTACTAACTATACTAACAATATGTTTTTTAATTAATTACAATTTATCATGATTTGTTGTATTAAAGTAAAACCTCTTTGTTTCCTAGACAGGGAAATTTTTCGGTGAACCAGAGGGAGCTGTAATGAGTAAGCTTCTGCAGATGGGCTCTTTCAAGAGGTACGTTTTTCAAACTGCATCTGAGGGGATGTGCTAGATACAGCGTATGCACGAGTGTGTGTGTGTGTGGGTGTCTGTGTATGCATGTGTGTGTAAATGTATGTGCATAATATCAGGCAGGCCACAAAATGAGAGCATGTCTCCCTTCGTGCTGACAGCTCTTAACTTGGCCAATCGTGTTGAGCTATTCAGCGCTGAACTCCGACCTCTCACTCAGCAGAGTTCTCCGTTAGGGGATTACAGCAAATCTTTTCCTGAAACGAAAGAATGAGGAGAAACCTGTAGTCACAAACGCATGTAGCCGTGCATATTGCGCTCGTTGTAAATCTGTGCGTCCTGGAAAACGCCAGGAGCAGTGGGTGGTGACATCCTGCAATTAATTTGGAAATTTAATCCAGGAGGATTCCAGTATTACGGAAAAGCAGAGACAGAAAGACACAAATGTTAGTTTGACTGTAGAGTCAAAGTGAAGCAGTCTTACATTTATGGTGTAAATTTACATCGCACAGAAGCCACATTTTCGACATTACGGCAGGACCGTACCAAACATTCATGACGTGGGCGAGGAGATTTTTTTACCATGTTGTCTCAGGGTATAAAAATCACGGGTGACAAATTGTCGCACAAGTAGACACCCCCGCCTATATATCATAGGGATGAACCTCAAAAGCTGACAGCAAATAGTTTACAGACCCATCCATAAAAACAAAGAGGCCTACGAGTGCTTTCACTGCATCTTTAATGTCGGATGATGGGGGATTTTTTCAAATTGAGGACGGCGTATGATGAATGAATAATGTGACTTGTGCTAGTGAAGTATTAACATGATGAGTAACAGAGCCTTCAGATCTTAACACTAATGAATCCAGTACGAGCTGTCTTAAGCCAGTGCCATCTGCAGAGAATTAATGTGTTGAAGTGCAGTTTTTGTCTTGATTAAAAAAAATATGCGCCACTTAAAGTCGACACAAACTGCCAGCCCGAATTTATCGGTCAGCATCGAGGCTGCAGATGAAGACGAATGTGGACAAATTATTTGACTTACTTGTGCGTTATCTATCATTTCCAAACAAGCAACAGAAAGGAGAAATCTATAAAAACGTTGCGGCTCACACATAGACGCAGAGTAATCGTGCGTCCATGCAAACGCGCGCTCGTGCACAGATACTGCGTCGCTCTAACTTCGCTGCTAACACCATTATGTGGCCTGGCTTAGCACTAATTGGTTCCTGGCGGTGTTTCGGAGCTGTGTGTCACCGGTGCTGTGACTGAGGTTTGAACATCGCCCAGGGCTGCGGATACACTGAGCCCACTCAGACATCACACACATGACACACAAAGTATAGTCAAGTATATAGGAACTTGTCCAAAAGGCAAGGCTAGGAGAAAGAGTGTCCAGTGTGTTGGAGTGTGTTAGAAACCCCTTCAATAACCTCACCCAGACAGACCTAGATCTCACACCCTCAGGGTCTACTAAGCCCTTAAATCCTCTGATATCCCTCCAATATCCCCAAATCATCTACACACACACACACACCTTCCTACATCACTTTGAGGAACCTCTCAGGAAGCTCTCCGCTTTCACTTGCTTTCCTTTTCTCATTCCTGCCACATCCATCCAATATATTATTCGTAGGTAAAGCAGCAGTTACAGCAGAGGTGGGATCTTTTCTTCCTGCTCCCACACAGCAAGTCCAAAAGGCCCCACGGGCACGTAATAGTAGAGAGAATGTGTGAATCAAGACTTATATCACCTTATCCGGGCTATATTGTTCTGACAAAACAATATCATGAAAAGTCAGAACACAACAGCTTTCCTTACTTTATTTTATCTCTATTTCTTATGTTCTTTGTGCCTCTCTTTTCTATCTTTATCTCCTCAGGGTCACCCTATACGACTACCAGGCTTTGTGTTGGGTCTTTTCAGAGAGCAGTGCCAGTGGACACACACTGCTGGATGTAAGAGCTGCATATTATTTTTCCACCTCCTTGTTTTGCTATTAGCAAGTCTCGTCAATATTTTCTCTCTCTTATTTTCTTCAGCCCTACTTTGCCTTCTTCTCGGTTGTGAAGTGGATCCTGACCGAGCTTGTCATGTAAGACTTCTGTGTATGTGACAGCGTCTTGTGTCCCTTCCGCGCATACTGTACGAAAGTGGCCTCTCTGGTCTGAGATTAACTGTGTGTTTGTGAGTATATATCAAATGCGTGTTTGTTTGCCAGCGCCACCACATGTACGTCGACGTGATCCGCGGCGATCACGAGCGCTAATGGATACCTGATGTTTCCCTTTGCGCGGGTATTCCTGCGATGCCACATTGTGGTTGCGGAGCCTCCCTGGGTGGTCTGTTGTTGCCACGGTGCATCATGGGAGGATTGAGTTGTCAGTGCTAATTTTACACTCCGTCACAGTGATGGCTATTTTGTTGCATTTGAAATGTTATTTTCTTATTATGTGATTCATTCTCCATTATTGTTCCACTCGGTGATCAGTGCAATGAGTCCTGAGGAGGGAGACCTTGATGGTGGTTTAACACGAATGAAAGAATATAGAGCCATTTTTAAAATTATAAAAATTTGGAACTTATGTATCATCAATTAATCTGTAATTAGAAAATGTGCTATTTTCTACAGTATTTTATTGCTTTCTTCACATTGCCTATCATATGAAATTAATTTAAAAAACAAAAAAATATCCAATAACTGTATAAGGTGTCAACTAATTTAAAATAGTGAACCCACATTAAAACAGTGGGTCTTGTACACACACTGCTAAAAAATTATCAGTGTATATTTATTGAGGATGATGTCTATAGTTATCATTTTGCAAACAGTTTGAATCTCGTCTACCTCTACAGGAACTTCTGCAGAAACAATGGTTGGCATGCAGTAGAAAGTATATTTATTATATAAGCATATGTTCAAGCGTATAATTATGGTCGATGTCGTCTCCACATTTAGATTCCTGGTCGAGTTCAACTTGTACAGCTGGTGGTACTCTGACCTCACCGCTAAAGGTAAGAATGCACTCTTGGGGGATATGCCTGTTATCCAGCTTTTTCTCTTCAGGACTCTCAGACTAACACACTACCATTGTCTTATCACAACCATGTTGTTTTTGAAAATTCCCAGAAAATAATTCCCGGTTCGTGACACTGTATAATACACACTGTAAGAGCTGCACAATATTGTATTTAGAATGTCTGCTGCTGTTGAAAATAGCCACAGTTATCATATAACATGCATAATGTGCAAAATGATTTTGTCCTTAAATAATATAATAAATATCATCTATGAATGTGATCATAGCATCTAGAAAAAATAATGAGGCTTATTATTTTAACTTGTGTGTAATAAGTACACATTAAATTTCACGTCAAAGTTCTAACATCGTTACACATTTTTTAACACTAAATAAGGCAACATTTGTCAGAGATGAAAACTATCAATTTGCACCTTTTTTTTAACAAGCTTTTGGGATTTTTTTTGTTACATGATAATGAAAAAAGAAAAAAATTTTGGTCATTAAATAATCCGACAATTGTTTAAACAAAACACATATTCTCCTGTATAAAAAAAAAACGATGCAGATATATAACAATAATGGCCTAAAAACTGAATTAAACCATTTCAAAGCTTATTTTTTACTACATGCAAAAGAAAATTTCATTCTATTTCTTGAAAAATAAAAAGATTTTACTCGTTTTCTTTCTCGTCTCACAAAACAGAGAAAATAATTTAACATGGGCCAAAGACAGCAACAAAAAAAACAACTTTTTTCTGTTTGGTTTTTGACTGAAAAATACAAAAAAAATTGTTTGGTTTGTGTAATTTGTATTTTTGACAGAAAACCATCCAAAGAAAATTCAAAGCATTACACGCATCGTTTCATACTTAATGTTTGCGTTATTATGGAATACAGTTCGTTGCATGCAGAATTTAACAACCGGTGTCCTCAGCACTGACCTTCTGTCTTCATTCTTTGTCTTCGCCATCTCCCCTCCATTTCCTCTTGGCCTGAGCCAGTGTGACCACTAGAAAAACAGAATAAAGAGGCGCAATCCAAAATGTTAAAGTAAAAAAAAAAAAAAAACACAAAGAACAAAATCACCTCAAATGACCTCAGTGCTGCAGAGATTGTACGCGTATTTATTTGCGTGTCCAGAGGGCATTATAATTGACGGTTTTATGATCTATGCGGATGTGTGTCACGTTGGTAGTGGTGGGAGGCAATATTCACTTTGTAACATAACAAAAGCACCTCCCTCTCTTTTTTCTCACTCAGTCTATCTCTTTTTCTTTGGTTTTATGTTCTTTTTTTTTCTTTGTCTCACTCTCTTCCATAAATGCATGCACATTCTCCTCTGATTGCTGCCAGGCTATGAATGTTGTGATTAATACTTTATGGAGTGTTGAATACTGTTCGCCTGTATGAAATGAAAGCCTCACTAAGCAGCATCTTATTGTAGTATTAATTCTAGCCAAAACTAATATGAAAATATTTAGTATGTGAAAGAGAGAGAGAGGGAGAGAGCGGGGAGGGGAGAAAGCACCACAAAATGAAAGTCTATGAAATGCTTTCCTTGCACACTTTAATCCTGAATGAAGTGAAGCTGGGCATCGCTGCGCGCCAGGCAGTCGAGACAATTTCACAGCTGGCTAGCCTCAGGTCTTAGCAGCACTTTCTATATCTTTTTACAATAGAGACACAGGCCTGTGACACACAGCTGAAACACCCCAACTTCGCAGCCTGTAACCCAATCTGCACAGCCTCTCAAGCTGAACTAATCCCAGACGTTTATACATGTAGGCCGCGCTCCTTGCATCCGTGTAGTTTATGTACAACACGCACAAACAGGCAACACGATAATGTTGCGCTGCTGACTCCCACTAATTAAACCACTCCGTTCGAATCACGCACACAGTCTGCCATCTTTAGAAATCTGCGTGTTGTAGAAATACATGGAGCGCTGTGCTCAGACTGAGCATTTAATTGTTTGTGTTATAAATATATATATATAAGTTTAGCTTTAGGTTCTTTAATAATCCAGCTTTCACTGTATGAAACCAGCCTTCCTGTAGCCTTGTGTCAAACCTCTGGGTGGCAGGAGAGTTCAAGCAATACTGTGAGAATGGTTGGCTTTGATTCACGTTGGAAATATTTCCAGCAGGACAAGAGGCAGCTCTGGTTCAGAAATGCTGTTTTCTTTCAAGCTTGTGTATTTACACGGATGTGGTGTGTTTAACTGTTTGCTTGCGATCTATTTGCATAACTGCTTTAAATACATAATTTGACTTTGAAATGGATGTTCCATAACTTTTCCACTAACTTTGACGCAATGTCCTGTCCTTTCTTCTTTCACTGCTGCTTTCGCTCTGTCTTTCTTCTTCTTCTGTCTTTCTGCATTTGCATCTTTTTCTGTCTTTCTTTTCCCTCCCTCACTTTTTTTCCTTCCTCCCTTCAGCTCAGAGGATGGGTCGCTCCATGCAGGTACCGTGCGACACCGAGTACCCGGCGTTTGTCTCCGAGAGAACCATCAAGGAGAACACCGGCAACGTCGACTGTGACGGCTGCATCAAGTACGGGAAACGCACACAGACACGTGTCTCTCTCAAGTAAAATAAGACTCTTTAAGCTGTCCACTGCGTGCGATAAAGGATGCTAACAGTAAAAAAAAAAAAAAAACCCGAAAGAATTATCCCGTTAGCGCTCATCTCGGTGAAATATTTGTATCTCTTATGATGAGAAACACGTTTGAATCATTTGTTGTATGTTGAAAACACTTTTATCCAGGCAATCCATCAGAGGCACACACACGGACACTAACTCTCTCCTCCAGCAGTTTGAAATACGAGGCATTTAGAGATGAGGGAGAGAGGTGGAAAAAAAAAAAAAGGCTTCCTTTAAAAATGGGAAAATGAGTGTGGTCCCCATTAACAATTTGGGCTTTTCTGTCAGGCAATTGTGGGGTGTTCTCTGGATCCCTCCAATGGGCCCTTCATTGCTCCCAGCTGTGGAACTGCCAGGGAGCTCAGAACAGTGTGTGTGTGTGAGTGTGTGTGTTTGCTTGTGTGTGTGTTTTCCTTGTGTGTCTGCTGCTGGTACAGCCCCACAAGGTCAACAGGGTAACCACTGCCCTGGGTGCCAGGACTAAAATGCGGTCGGGGATGCAGTCTGACCCCGACACACACACGTACTGTACACACACACACATGCATTCACAACACTGTACACCCACCCACACACACACACACACACATCCACCCACGCACATGACAGGAGCATGCTTCAGCGAAGAATGGCCTCATCTCCAATGATGACACCCGAGCTGGGATTAACAGGCCGGGCCGTGCGCTCCGAGCAACATGTCGCCTTCGAATAACTCTTTTTTAAAACACTATGAATTTGACAAAGTTAAAAGGAGGTTTTTATTTCGGTTATATGGATTTTATAGCTCATATTTGTAATAGAGGATATTGGTGATAAACATCTGTTTCACGTTACAGGCTGACCGAGGCCTTTCTCTCATATTTTCATTGGGACACGCGTGTATGCTTTATGCTTTAGGAAATATACCCTAAGCTCTCGCCTGTTAAACCTCTCTTTGCTGTATTTTGACTCTGTGTGTGCATGTGTGTGTGCATGTGCTAGTATTTGTATTTGTCCATAACTTTCCCGACTGGTGTGAGGGAGAACAAGAGACATCAAAAGCGAGTGAATGCTGTAATGGCTTCAGTGCCTCTATTGAATGATTTAACTTCCATTAATGCATTTCCAGCGTCTCTAGACTGTAACATAAGACTCAGGACAAAGAGTGTCTCTCCAAAAAAGAAAAAGGTCTTCAAGGGGACTATTAGCGACAATACTCCTGGCCATATATCCTACCACTCCACATGCTCCGTTTGTTTCCCTCGGCCGTGACAGACGAGTCATGTTGCGAAAACGGAGAGGTTCAAAGTAGCAGCGAGCGAGTCTCGGCTCTGCAGCACATGTAGACGTGGATTCATCTGTTAAAGACACGTGTCAGTTGTAATGACGGCACTGCTCAGATAGTCTTGTCGCTCCTTTTAAGCAGTTTTTCGAATGTCACAAGTTTTTTATTAAATTGGAATTAAATAACAAATGTGACATTGTTATGTATTTGGATATGCAGCCGGTCAAAAGAAAGAAATGAAGTGTGTCTAAGAGTATTAAGAGAGAGTTTAAAGTGCAAAAGAGAAGCATCAAAGCTTGCGGACAGCAGTTTTTACAGAAGCAGCATTTATGATTTTAATTTTATTTTTATGCACACAAGTGATGTACATTTGTATCTTACATGCCAAATTAGGTTCCAATGATTCAGTTAACTTTAAATTACTGTTTTCTTAAATACAATGATGATTGTAAATAATCTCCTTTTAAACTTTTGTTGAAGATATTTCTATTATATTTCTTGATTTTATTACAAGGACATTGTGATACCTATAGCTGGTTAAAAATCCCTTGTAGAGTCCCCTTAAATATACGTACTGGAACCATGTAAAATGCTTATAAAGTTAAGAAAGAGAATAACATCATTAGAATGGTGCTTGCCTGTTTTTAGTACGTAACATGAGACGTGGAAATAAAATGACAGCATTGCTCTGAAATCTCATCAGTCTGTTTGTTGAGATTTTATTGGAGCAATTTCAACCCAATGAATTAGTAATTGTTAAATTGCACACGGTAATTACTGGTCAAATTTCCCAACTGTGATGACAGATATTTCTGAAAACCATACAGTACATGCAGTTATGGTTATGGTTATGTTATGCAACTATTAAATCCTTAGAAAAATATCAGCGCTCGCTATGGGACACATAGAAATGTTGCATTTAGCCAAACCTGAGCACAGAATGGTTTTTCCATTCCGTTTACAAAATGCTGCTTCTGTTCTGAAACAATGGCAAACCACACACACTTTATAATGTATTATGAATTAGTGTCATCTTATCATAACTCTAATCCCTGAAACGAGCATCAGGAAAGCAGAGAACGGAACATTTTCCTTCGTGATCTGAAAGTGTTGATAAGCAGTGCTAATTTTTATCGGCTTCAGCGACAGATTGTGTGACATGTTTTGTCAGAGAATAAGACACAGTCTGTCACCACATCTTTGTGTGCACAAGAATCTTTTCTTACAGCACCTCAGCTTTACACATTTATCTTACTCTCTTTTTTTCTCGCTTTTTCTTTCTTTCTTTCTTTCTTTCTTTCTTTCTTTCTTTCTTTCTTTCTTTCTTTCTTTCTTTGGGTCTCCATGTCACTCAAAGGAGTATCTGTCTCGCTGTCATTCTCTATTTTTCCTTACAAAAATATGCCGAATGTTTTCCCTTCTGGCTAAAATTTAGAGGCCAAAGCACCATGTTGAAAACAAATTGTCTACTATTTGTGTTTGTGTATGCATCTATGTCTGTCACTGTGTATCTGTTCGTATTGTACACATCGCTGTGTGTGTGCATTCATATGCAGTGCGGTGCTCCTTTTCCCAGCACTGGGTATGTTCAAGGCCAGCAGCTGTGCTGTCAGGATGTGTTTAAGTCTTTTCTCCAGGAACACTTGCTCTGCTTTCTATCAGCGGGCAGAGCTGGATCGGCAAGGCGCTGTGCAGGGGTGAGCACGGATTATTAAACATCAGCAGATCCTAATTCACCCTGATTGGGACTGGCTTGGTGTATTTGCTGGGTTGGTTTGGTTGGGTTTGGCTGGTCACGGTGGGATAAGTGTATTAGAGTGTGGTGGGTTGGTGCTACTCAGGGATTGGAGGCTGTTTGTGGTCAGATTAAATTGGTCATGGTATTGAATTAGTAAAGATTGAGAGATGATTCTTAGCTCTGTTTTGATCTATCAGGTTTTTCCCTCTTTGTCTTCGTTCATGTCCTCCTTCACACGAGTTGAGATAGCATATCCGTGTGTGCAGTATTTTTGCGTGTATGCGTGCTCGCTCGGTCACACAAACGTCTTCTCATACGTGTCTGATAAATTCTTCACAATGAATTTGATAAATCACACAGCTGCACCAGAGGAGAGGGAGAGGAAAGAGATAAAGAAAGAAAGGGCGATAGAAAGAAGAGATCATCTTTACGACCTCTCTTCTTCATAAAGCTTATCCACGGACATAAATCACTGGCCAGGAGGCCGAGGCCGGGCCAGATCTCTCAGGCCAGTAAAACACAGCCATTGGGAAGCTATGAGCACAAAAGTGTGGTTCCCATTTGTCTCCCTTTGGAGTGTTTTATATTCGGCAACACTTCATTGCTCGCCTCAGATAAGGGATAACAAAGCCTGAAGAGAAGGAAGTGGAGAGAATGAGGAAGACCAGCGGATGGAATAAGTTAGAGAAGTATGTGTGTTTACTTCATACGTGTGTTTGCCGGTGTGAGCCTGTCTTTGACTTCGTATGTTTATTGACAACTGGCAATGAGATACTTCATCCTCTTGACATGCATCCAGTGGAAGTCTCTTTAGTGCATCTCCCCTCCGCCAGCGGAGAATGTGAACACTCATAACACAGATCCTGTGACACACATGGAAATTTACATCACACCCATGCACCTTGACTACTTGCCAATACGTCTTTCAACCTTCTCTGGCTCTCCTTCCCTTCTTCCTTCCTAATCTTCTTTTTTTTTCTGTTTCTGGCTGTCTGTGCTGTGATTGGCAGGTCCTTTGTGATTCAGCAGATCCCCAGCAGTAATCTCTTCATGGTGGTGGTGGACAACAAGTGCGACTGCAGCATGTTTGAGGCGATCACCATGGACCCCATCGAAATCATGTATATCCTTTACTGGCCAAGAACTGGAGAGGTGGTGTCGGGGAGAGGGTATCCTGAATGGATCGAGGAATGACAAGCAGGTTTATTTAAAGTAATTCACAAAATATGAATGTGAAAATGAGCAATTTTGCTGTAAAACAAACATCTACAGCTAGAGCACAATCTTAAACAAAAGCAATGAATTGTTGCAAAATGTTTCAAAAACTACTCAGCAGTTCACATTTCAAAAGGAGCCTTTCTTTGCAGTAAACCTTCAGTCTCTTCTGTACCCATGGCTTAGTGGGATATTTAAAGCAAACTTATGAATAAAAGAGTAAATGACTGGATAAATGGATGGTTTTTGAAGTCAAGCTTAGTTGTGCTACATGGCTTACATGTTGCAAGCTTCCCAGAAAAGCTTTTTCCCCTGCTGAGAATAATATTAATGTTACCTTATTATGTTCTCAATGGAGAGATCTGTTCCCCTCCACCTCATGACTTATAGTGTCAGAATTATTACAGCTCGTGTGTATCCATCAACATAATCGTGATGGGAATACCATGGAGCGCTTTAATGTGTGGAAAAGCTTTGGGAAGTTTGTTTGCCCTCTACCCCTTGTGGATGAAAGAAATGAGATTGTTGTGGGGGATGCGATCCGATGCTGGGCACCGAGACAGCGCTCAACCAGATAGTGTGTTTCAAAGTGGTCTGTGAATGTGTATAAGTTTGGCCTGTGTTACAGCCCACGCTGCGATCGGATACTGATCAACAGCAGACACAGCGAGCTCAGAGAGGCTTCAGACTGAAAGAACTAAGTTTGTCACCACAAAACAGGCTGGATTCTCCTGCAATGTGCATTTCTTTGAAATTTTATGCAGCACAGTCACGCTGTATATACATGTCCGCCAGTGTTTATTTTGTTGTGGAGTGCTTACTGTAGCATAAAGCCTGGTATTCTGTTGCTATGCAACAAAAGAAAACTCATCAAACACTGGTCAAAGTTGTCCTTTTTTTCTTTTTTTTGCACATTGTGCTGTGCACAAAAGCTATCCCAGCCTTTAGAAGAAACTCCTTGCATCGTGCACTTAAAAACATGCATTCCTTTCCATTAGAAGCAAGAAATATACTCCAGCAGGAAAACTCCTGCAGAGTGTACACATTGTCTGGTATTGCCTTAACTTCAGCTGCACATAATGAATCTCTCAAGTGTGAGAGATTGAAGATGCAGAAGGACAGGAGGCGCCCTGACACCTGCCACCCATTTCACCCAGAGGTATTTTCACCACAGACACACACACTGAACACAAACACACACACACACCATTCACTCTTATAGCGCTCTCTCAGGATCTATTTCTCATTCAGTTGTTCCCTATCTGCTTCTGTCTCTAGGAGAACTCGATGGAGTGTGGGGGAGCAGCGAATCTCAACCCGTCTCTTGTGGCCACACTGCTCTGCGTACTCGTGGCACTGTTGCCTAGGTGACCAGAGCTGGCCACGCCTGTCCATCAAGAACTTGACTTGGATTGGATTGGCTCGGCATGCAAAAGAATTGCAATGATGCCACAGAAAAAAACACTCCTGCCCCCTAATAAATTGTGCCCAATTTCAACTCACCACCTACAAAGTCCCTAGCCCGGTGGTACCTCCCTACGAGGTACATATTTGAGAGGATTAATAATGGATAGCTGTTACGGCTGCTAAGTAGTAATCATTAAGGTGCTTTAGCAATATCACAAGAGCTGCACAGAGAGATTTTTGGGGAGATACAAAGTTAAAAACACAGTAATATTGCTAACAATGCACTTAGTAGCTTAAAAATTGCACAAGTGGTCTAGTAAAACCCACTGACACTGACACCACGACGTTCAGTCCTTTCAGGTAGCAGCTAAGGGCTGGGCTCTGTAGCTGGGCTTGGAACTGGGCATTAGAGCCACGTTACACCCATGTGGAAAAAGACAGATGCACCTTCCCCTGGCCCACTCTGACTTTTCATGGACAATAATGATTCTGAAGATAAAAAAAATGCAAAAAAAAAAAAAATACCGAAAATGAAGATGATTATATGTGGGTGGGGTTGTAATGAAATGTTTGTCTAACAATCTTTTTTTTCCATGATGAGAAAAAAAAAATAAAAGTTCGAGTATAGATATCTATATATGAAGAAAAAAAAAGAGTTTTATTTATGATTTGCAAGTGGTACCCATAAACTGTGACTATGAGATTTTGAGTCCTCTGATGTGAGTGGTTGTTAATATTTGAGCTTTGCCTTATTGAACGATATTGGTCCTGTTTGTGTACTTTTGAAATAAAACGATGTTTAAAATTTATACTGTCGTTGAAGCCATGTTGTTGAAAGGCTTTAACAAAGCCGACCTTGAAAAGAACAATGGAATTAATATGAACCATTAGTCTCATCCCTATAGATCGCTCTATTGATGTTGGCAAGTTTGAGTAATTAATACAGTATCTGCTCTTTGTGGTTGGCCGGGGGGGAAATGTTTGGCTGCTTTTTGGCCTCCACATGAGCAGAGATGTGGCAACCATGTGTGTGTCTGTGTGTGTGCATCTGGCGTTGCGCCTTTCTGTCATTCATGTACGCCTCTGCCCCAGAGGCTTATCCCACCATACAAAGAAACAATAAAGACCATGACACTGGAATCGAAGACCAACTACAACATTCATCTGTATTTGTTTAGGAACAGACAAACAATCCTTTCGGGATTTGCTGATGTATGTGCACACCCATGCCAGAATATGACTCTCAGGGCAACTGATATTGTGCGTACAGATGCCCAAACATATGTCGCGTTATTGTTTGAGTGAAAAGCAGCAGACACATTTTCAGATACCCTGTCAGTACCAGCAAGAGGAAGCTCCGCTGTGGTCTCCATGTCAACACCAAAGCCCCTGTGGTCAAGACCGGGACATGCTTCGACTCCCTCTCTTTCCCCACCTCTCAACCAGTGGGTTCTACTAATTCGCCCATTCTTCCTTCACTGACAAAGTAATTCTAAATGTCCAAGGGGTCTAATCTATTCTCTACTGTTTTACTGATCTTGTCCCTTGAGCAGAACTTTCTGACTCTAATCATTCCCAGGTCTCTTCCTCTTGCTATGGTCCAAAGACTCTCTGACTTGCTTGTGGGTCATTTATCACTGCATAATGGGATCGGAGCTGTTTTGGGTCAACACGCATACAATCCGGTCTGTGATTCCTTCCTGTTTGCCAGATGAGTTATGGGAAAGTGCATCCAGTGTGTGTGTGTACAAAAGGCAGACTTGGGAAAGCAATCTTCTTTCTGGGGAGCAGCCACAATGGCAGCCCTGTTGCCACCTTCCTCATTCCTGTGAGTGATAAATGCTCATCTCTGTTTTCTGTAAGCTGTTTTTGCCCGCACACTGATAGGGCATCCATAACCCATTCAGATGCTAAGAGGCCCATAAATGCATGCAGACTGTCTTTTTCTCAGTTTCCCACAACAGACAGCCTACACTCATGCAGCCTATACACAGGTGGCAATGAGAGGAAGCTAGTTGTGGAACAAAACACCAAAAAAAAATGGAAGAAGAAGGTATTTAACTTGACAAACTGTACATTTTGAAGATCTGTGCTAATTTTAAATGCAGCTCATAACGGGTTTACTTGGACAAACCCGTCCACACCAATACCCAAAGACAGCACATGGGAGACAAACAACATTCAGGATATTTTCAGAAAAGGCATCCACATTCCTTCCCAGTGATTCAATCTGCACTGCTGTTTGAGGTGGGAAGGAACCCCTGAGAGAGGAGTCACTGATCACTTGGACACAATACCCTGAAGGGGCCCTGCAGTTCAAAACACACCCATCCATCAGCACTCACACTACTCTAAGTCTGTTTGTTCGCCATTATCTTGACTGCACGAGAACTCTTGTTTGCTAATATGCCGGAAGACAGATGACAGTGAATCGTGCACGTATTCACACATTCAAACATTTGTGCATACATCGCTGTCTTAAACATGCAATAACACACACGCACACACGCACACACACAGGCGGTCACACAGAGGGCAAAGCTTTTGGTGTTACCTCCAATGGCGTGGATACCATCGGTGGTTTGCTTTGAGGGCCACAGATATGTTTAAATGGAAATGATTCTGAGCAGCTGAACCACACCAGGACCACACACAGGCCCGGCGACCACAACATGGCAAAGCTAAGACAAGCTGGGAAAACACACACAATTCTGTCGACATTCCACAGGCTGACTAGCAGCATCTCAACCCTGCGACGCACCGCCTGCATGTATTCTCATGTTTGTGTGGAGGATGGGGTTACTGCAGTGAATATCTAATTTTAGAGAAACAATGACAGCAAAGCACTTGATGTGCATTTTCAGGATGGCCTCTTGCTTCGCTCAATTGGATTAAATGGCTCATCGCGTGGATTGCCGCTTCATTGTCATCCATGCGGCGATCGCTTTCACCCTCTGATGTCCTCGGCTCTGTCCTTATTTACCTCCGTCCTCACCCTCCTTTACCTTTTTTCCCCCCTGTCACTCTGGCCACATGCTCGCTTGGCTGCAGCGGTGATAATGACCAGACCTCTCGACTGCCTCACCCACACATGCATAGTACCCGCACATCGCAGACGAAAAGCAAACCAAACCCCAAAGACAAATTTGTTCCTGTGGGTGCTAGGAGACACACCGCTGCCAAGGTTGAGAGGTGCCAGCTGAAAACATACACTCTTAACACACACATATATACAGAATTAGTTGTCTACCCCATGCTGTGACAGGAAGAAAAGCCCTCAGTACTTAGGGACCTCTCGGTGAGCTCGAGGTCCTGACAGCCAGCTGTACTAATACTCTGTGTGCATACGAGTGTGTGAGTGTGTAAGAAAGAACAAGCAAGTGAAGGAGAGTTAGTGTGAGAAAAGAGCAACTATACTTCATTGTTTTTGTGCTTTGATTAGGATTAGCAAACTGTATGTATACGGGAAGAGGAGCGCACATAATTCATCGGCTTGAAGTTCATTAATTTTCTTTCAGACGTGCAGCTTATTCTCATCAGCCACACGCCGAATAACAAAACCAGAACAAATCATAGGCATATATTTAGCATTCCATTCTGTGTTTGTGCAAACAAGCTGAGGGAGATTTTTCAACATTAGCATATTCAGCGGAGTCTTTGTAGCTGCAACCTGAGCTCCCTCAGCCCATCAAGTCTACCAAAAAGCCTCATTCGCTTACACATGGCAAGCTGAGCAATGGCCTGGAGGGGCATACATATTGGCTCCCTTAAACAGGAAGTGGCTAAATGGAGACCCAGGAGCCCCCTGCCTTGCCTCTGCCACTCAAATGCACCCGGGCTGTTTTTAGAGTGTAGGCCAGCTTAACAGAATGGACAGTCAGGAGTGAAGAAAGAGGAAGGAGGGGAGGGTAGCCCAGGAACGCTAGATTGGAGGTCAGGGAGGCAACGGAGGGAAAAGGCGGGCTGATTGTAGCAGAGTAGGTGGTCTCACGGTATCATAGCTCAAAGCAAGCAACACCATTGGCTCCCAGCCTTGGTCTGTCCCCAGGTCTCTGCGCTGGATTGGGATTGAGAACCACTCTAAGTATTGTAAGCACTTTAGAGTTTCCTCAGATCACAGTTCATCAGCATCAGCATGTTTGTGTTGGACCGAGGACCGATCAATGAGTTAGGGACTATTGGGGTTGTTGGCTCCCCCCTGCCTGCAATAAATCCTGCTGTGCTGATGAAGGCTGAATGTTGATGTGATAATTGATGCAGTGTTTTTTTGTACATGGCGTCTCTGGGCATGGTGTGGTTACATCAAACTTTTATAGAAGTCTGTGTGTGCATGTGTGTGTGTCCATCTGTCATGTTTGATTTGTATCTTTATACCCCAGCTGGAGAGCTGCTCTTGCTAACCCTCTATGAACTCAGTGTGGACAGGACTAAATGGTTGCTCTTATTGGCACATTAGTGTACGTGCATGCTCGTGTGTTTGTGTGTGTGCGCATGTGTGTGTGTAGGTGTGTGTGTGTGTGTGTGTGTTTGCATGCATTTGCCATGCTTGTTATGCTCATATTTTGAATAAACACACAGAGATACAGTATATATTAACATTGTGTGTGTGTGTGTTTTTGTCATGCTTGGTTTGTATTCATGTATATATGAGCATGTGAGTGCCTAGTGAAAGGTGTGTGTGTGTGTGTGTGTTTGTGTGCATGCACATGAGCCGATGAGCCGCATGTTGTGTGCATGCTTGGCCCTGGGATTTCAACGCCCTTATTTTGCATAGCAGAGCAGTGAAAGAAAGGCTAAGGTTACAACCACAGGCCCTGAAAGCAAAATCGCTACAACAATGTGACATTTATATGCCCTGGTGTCCCCCACTCACCCCATTTCTCACCCCCCGCCCTCACCCATCATTACCCTCTTGACCGTAGGAATATCCAAAGGCTTGCTCTTGACACAGAACACATCCTTGCCCGTCCTCCTGCTCTCTCCCCGACTCCAACAGCCATCACATCCCCTTTCTGCGTCTCTGATCTGTGTGTCATGTGAACTTGCGGCAAGACCTTTGTGCTCATGTGCACAGTACGCACATGCATGCGTTTCATGCATACGTTCCTCCTGCTCTCTCTCATCATAACAGTCTCGAGCATTTAGAGGATGTGACATCACAGCGGGGTAATGCTGGGCGCTGACGGGTGTTCTGTGGTCGAAGGCAAACTGGGCTGTGACGCCGTCTGTTTGTTTTTCCGACATCTGCATTCGGAGGGGAGTCCTGGGGAGCCAGTTGATTAGGGCTCTCATATATGTAACTGCTGCACTTCCACAGCGATAAGCCGTGTTGTAATTAAAAATAATCAGAGCTATAATACTCTCTGGACATGAACTCGTCATAGCTCGGAGGCTTTGTGTGTGGATGTGCGTGCGTGGTTGCGTGTCTGTGGGTGGATGCATGCGTGTTTGTGATTGATGTTGCTTTTTAGTGGGTGTGTAATGAGTATTATTAATGAGCTGTGTAATCTAAAAATCCTGCAGTGTGCCATAACTGGGAGAGGAAAAGAGGAAACTAACACACAGTTAGATTTGTCCAAAACACAGAGATGACAAGTAGGTGAGGCCCAGAGCATTAGATGGATAGAAGGAGCAGAAAGTACAAATAAGAGTAAGAGATCGAGAAAGTGTGCGTTTGTATTCATATGAGGAAATGTACAAGGAAGAGACGGTTAATTTGTACATTTTTGAGTGGAGAAAATTGCAGCAATCCTCGTCCTCATCCCACCATCATTTTTAAAACGTGTGAGAGAAATTAAGCACATTTGCA